AACCGGTCCTGATTTCATAGGACTTTAAAGACCCGATGTTTATTTTGAAAGTCTATGGGGGTAAGGCAACATCTGTCACAGTATTTAGATCACAGACATAATTTTTTTTGTGGCATCTTGTGGGACAATTGCTCCTTGGAACGTATTCTGGGAAACACTGACCTGCAGATGAAAAATTGCTTGAGAAGTCATTTCACAGATGCCCTCTGACCTCATCCCTCCTCAGAACACTGCCTTTACTCAGAACAAGCCTCTGAGCCTTCACCTCTGCTGTTCCCTCTGCCAGGTGAATCCTAGGCCACCTTTCCTCTGTGGAGCCTCCGAATCCACTGAGCAGCCTGAGTCGCATCTTCTAGATTTCCATAGCACTCTATCAGGACACCACAGGAATCACCTGTTTATGTGTCCGTCATCCCTACAAGGTGACCAGCTTCCGGAAAGGTGCCCCATGGCTTAGTAATCCTTATTAATTCTCCAACAGTGTCTGGCATGCAGCTGGTGCCCAGTAATGAGGTGATGAATTAATAGGCATGAAGAAATAAAAGGTATTGATGAAATTTCAGAAATTACCCAGATGTCTCTAGCCTGGAGCACCCTGGTGCCCCTCCCTTTACAACAGGTGCAAATCGGTTGTCTCTGGATGCATCGATCCAGCCTGGCTCGATTTGATGCACAGACATTACAGGGCTCTGTCTCCACTCCTCACCCACAACCTGACTCTTCTGCTGTGGCCATGACCTATAAGTGAACATTTCCTTCAGAAATGATAGCAAAGTAAAGCGGTTTTAACTAGCTTCCGACTTGTATCTAAAAGGGTTACCAACACTGGAGTGAAGGGGACTTCTCTCTGGTTTTTCTTGCCCCTCCTGTTTTCTTTAAATGAGCCCTTTATTAAGCCATCCAGGAACCTCAGTTTCTTCAACAGGGCCAGAGTTGGCAGTGTCTCCAACTCCGCTCTCCCCAGCCCTCTCTCCCTGTATGTTTGGAGGAAATAAATTGTGCAGGGGAAGCCAGGAGCAGATAAGCTGAGAGAGAGACACTAGCCATGCTGTGTCTGATAGCTTTTGTGTGAATCTGAGAGGTTGTGACACCCATTACCAGTGCTCATTTAAGTTCATTTATTTCTCCCAAGAGAGTCAGAGACAGAGAATGAGAGAGAGTGGGCCACCCCTAACAGAGTTTTACCCCACGATTCCCTCCAGCCTTCCCAGGCACGTGTGCCTGGGCTGTACAAGTGAACTGGGGGACCGAACCCATGATCTTCCCCATGGATCCAGTATTACTTGAGCAGTGTGTTACTGCCGAGCCACCCAGCCAGCCCTGGAACAGACATCAGCCTTGCGCAGATTCTAACACACGGCGAGCGTTGCGGAAGTTTTGGCTGAGCAAGAGCAGGACTGTGGAAATGGACAGCTTCTGCGATCCTCCCTGTGCGATGTTTCAGTGTGATAAAACATTTGCAAAGTCAACTAGGGATGATTTGAGATCACGGGTCACTTGGGAGTAGTTTAGCTCTTTGCTACTCAGTGTCGCCCCTGGCCTGTGGCATTGGCATTCCCTCAGAGCTTGCTGGCAATGCAGAACCTTTGGGCAGACAGTGGTGCAGCGAAAACGTGATGTTCTTTGAGTCAGATCCACGCGGGAAGCTTGCCAGAGTGTATCCAGAGACCTCCTTAGTATGGCTAAGCTGGCCAGTATGGCTGGCTGAAGCTGGGGATAGATGGTGGTGTTAACCCAGTTGAGACTGCTGTATTTCTCTTGTGCACATGCGTGCAAGGAATAAATAAATTAACTTAGTAAATTAAAGAAGTGCACAGCCCACCCCAGCCCAGATGATCCTGAATCAGCACTTTTATAAGCTCTGCAGTAATTTATGTACACCACTGCCATCCAAGGGGCAATATTCGAGAAAAGACTTTACCAAATGGTGTTGCACATCGATATTCCACTTCTGAGATCATGAGGGAGGGTGGCTAGATGAATGTAAAGTGAAAGGCTAGAAAATTATGCTAATTTGACATTAAGGATAAAAAGATACAGCTAGTAAAATTCTACAGAGCTAAGGTATCTAAAAATGGAGATGTGCGAAAAAGCTCTCAAATATGACTGTTTATTCTATGGTATTAGATTCCTAGGGCTGCTGTAACAAATTACCACAAACTTAGAGGCTTAACACAACCGGAATATATTGTCTCACAATTCTGGAGACTGGAAGTCCAAGATTAAGGTGTTGGCCAGCCCTCTCTTCTACTAAAAAAAAAAAATACTTATTTCATGAGAGTGAAAGACAGAAACAGAGAGAGAGACAGACAGACAGGAATTCTCAGCAGGGTGTCACACCACAATCCCCTCCCCAGCCTTCCCAGTGGTATCATAGGCATGTGTGGCTGGCTGGTGTATCCAGGTTGACCAAGGAACCAAACCCACGATCTACCCTATGGATGCAGCTTCACTTCAGCAGTGCGTTACCACTGCGCCACTGAGCCAGCCCTTCTCCTCTTCTATAGATGCCATTAATTATGAGTTGAGGGCTCACCTTACTCCAGTATGACCTCATCTTAGGTAGGCATGTCTGCAGTGACAGGTTCCAGATAAGGTCACATTCTGAGCTTCTGGGGATACGACCCAACCTGCACATGCATCCAGCAAGAACAGTGGTGAGTTTCTGCAGTGGTGAGCATGTTGGGGACACGTCATTAATGTGCAGGTTTGTGGTCTCCTCCAATCCTTAGGGCGAGTGGGTCAAAAGTAAGAGAACCTAAATTTCCCGTCATGTGGGTATATGCAAGCTCCGTGTAATTGGATCCACGTCCTTGGAATAAATCTGGGGTTAACTGGTCTTGGAACACAAAGAACGCTGTCCTATTTTTCCTCCTGGACGAGAGCAATGGCCATAGTAATGACTGCCCGTTTGAAAGAATAGGTCAGAGCAGAAGCCCGACATCCTGGCTGAGACAGAGAGCAACTGGGAGTGAAGGAAAAGCACCGCGTTCCGTAGATGCTGGATAGCAGGAAAGCTGGGGATGGTAGTTCAATACTGCCTGAGAGTCGAGCTGAGAGTCCGACGCGTGACAGAGAGGGAACGAGAAGTTCAGAAACATGAGGCGGAGACACTCCCGGGCCAAGATGAGGAAGCCTGGAGGCCAAGGCTGATAGCCATGCATTTACTCCTTGAACATTTATTGAAAAGCCTCCCTTGGACAGGAATTATGGGCATAAAGCAGTCTCCTGGGAGAAGTCACACTCTGTAAAGAGGTGTCCACACACACCCCTAATTCTGGGAAGTGGATATAGTCCTTGAGAAGATGTAGGGGAGAGTTTGCAAAGTTCTTTCTCATAGTGTGGGGAGGAGCAGGGAAGGGGGAACTCCAGAGACAGCACTTGAGCCAGGGCTTGAAGGGGGCTGGGGAGAGAAAGCTCTCCTTGGGACCAGCAGATGGTGTAATGGTTACACTGCTGGACTCCCACATAGTTGACTGCAGTTTGAGTCCTGGGCCCAGCGGCTTAAAACTCACACCAGCTGTGTGAGCGCGGGTACCCAAAATCTCCAGAGGAGAATGGAGGAGAGGGGATCATGGTGTGGCCATCCCCCCTGGGGGGGTGATTTCTCACTTTCTGTCTCTCTGGCGAGTGCATGTGCCCTATAGCAAAAACCTCTCTAAAAAAAAAGAGAGAGAGAGAAAGAAAGAAAGAAAAAGAAAGAAAGAAAGAAAGAAGGAAAGGAATGGAAAGAAAAGAAAAGAAATGTCTTTTGAACTTGCAAAGCTGCTTTTGCTCTGGGGCCTCACTGAGCCCATGCACCACTGTTAATATTAAACTCACCTTGAGTCTCTGCTGCCTGATGGCAGGAACCATCAGATAAGGGCTCACTTGTTACTCAGCACTGACACTTGACTTCAAGGAAAAGCTCTGGGAAGGAGTGGCCACCTCTCTGGGAGGTCACAGCACGAGCTCATTATTTTTCTCTGCAGAGACTAGATGCTGTCTGAGTGTTTAAAATCCTCAAGGCAGTCCCGAGACGGATGTTCGTGACTTGCTTCAGAAGTGCTTAAGCAGGAAGCTGTCCCTGCCCACAACACTCTCATTTATCCAATAGCTTAGGAATGAGTGGGAGGCACCCGAGCCTTCCCCAGGAGAAGGTGGGATTAGGTCTTCCATCATGTCTGACAGACACAGGCCCAGATGGTCTCGTGTCCCACCAGGGAGGATTCAGGCATGAAGGAAAGACAGACAGGCTGACACTTCAGCTTTTCTTGGGGTCTTCTGCAGAGGAAGAAAGAGACATAAAAATGACATGGTTAGCAGCAGAATATTCCCTACCCTGCTAGATTCAACTCTAGTTGCAGTTGACTTTTTCTTCAATGAGGAAGCTTGACTTTTAGCAGCCATGTAATTTCTGACAAGCAAGGGGTTCTGGGGGTGGGGGCTGGGGAGCAGTTCTCCAGCAGGCAGGAGGAGGGACAGGCTGGGTGTGTAATGAACAAGCCAGGCGGGCAATGCTTTTGCTTCAGAGAGGAAAGAAACTTTCCCATTCGTAAGAGCGTGAAGCCCAGCTTGGATCAGTAAGTTTCAAAAGAGCACAGTCCCATTTGTTCCAGGTGTGGTGGCCTTTTTAGTTTCTACCAGCAAATGAAGGGAGCCTGAGTTCCTGGTCACATTAGCCGCAGAATTCACATCGGCCAGAATTGCAGGTTTCTTTTGGCAGATGTGTGTTTGGTCCTATTAATCAGAAATGGCTGGAACTCTCACACCCAGAGATGGGGGGGGACGGGGGGGAGCAAGCCGCCAGGTTTGGAACTCAAGCCACAGTCACCCATGTGAGAGCCCAGTGCCCTCAACCAACATACCACATTGCAACCCCTATCCATGTGGCCATCCTTGCCAAATTTAGGAATAAATGTATCTACCATGTACTATTAATTTTCCTTTCAATTCTTTCTTTTTTAATTGGTGAAATGTCCTCTTTAAAAAAAATTGTTTCCTTTCCCCTGAACTCACAGGTACAAAGGCTTTAAAGGCAACTGTTCCATGACCTTCATCGATCAGTTTAAAGCACTACACCAGTGCAACAAGTATTGTAAAATGCTGGGGCTGAAATCCCTTCAAAACAACAACCAGAAACAGAAGAAGCCAGGCCTCGGGAAAAGCAGATTTCAGACAAACTCCACAACAGCGAAGAACACAGAGTCTGGGACGCCAGCAGAGAAGAAAAGCTAACCTCCCTTATTAACTTCCGGCCACGCTAGCAGCACCCTGCCCCGTGAGTGAACATCTGAGACACGCAGGAGCAAGTGCACAGCCCGCCGAGTGTGTGACAAGCCCCGTTCCCAGCTGACTGTGCTCCGAGATGCTCCTAAGCCTCACTGCTGTCTTCGCTGAGACGATTTCAGAACAGGATTTGTGAAGAGACTTCTGGAGAAACAGAGTCACTTGCCCGTCTCAAAGACCGTCTACTCCTTGTGTACACGTTCAGGATTTTTACCAGCCTCCCGTCACGTGTCTGTGTGTGTATTTGCACATGGTTGTGTTGTCAAAAGACTTGATGGTGAGCAGGGCCTGTCCACAGCCCGAGCCCTTCCTGCCCCCATTCCTAACTTCGGGATTTCCACACACATCCAGCTGCGATGTGAAGAGAAATCGTGGGTTCCCTCCGGGGTCCAGTTGTCGCCCTGGTAGCCAATGTGCTTTTGTTGCTGGAGCAGGCTTCTGAAACGTGAAGCCACTTCCCTTCGTTATTCACACAGCCAGTTACAATTTGCTGTTTAACTAAATTCCTATATAAACAAAAAGCGTATGATGTGTATGTCATCGTAGAATCTGTGCCATTTTTCAGGGTCCCCCAGGATTTAGTAACTGAGGAATTTCCTCATAGGTTTGCTGGAGCACAAAATATTTGCAACCGTCTCCCCTCATTCTCACATGATAAAGTTTCATAACTTCCTACTCCCAAACCCTGGGGCTGTCCCATAGTGGATTCCACCGGAAGATGCATGCTAACTCTGGCTGGGGCACACCAGCTGGCGGAGATCCTGACGCTGCATCCCCCGGGCCACCCCCCGCCCCCAACACTCCCCGCATGTCTCCTCAAGGTCAGAGCTGCCTTCCCTGCTGCTTCCATCATGTCCTGATGCAGAGCAGTCTAGCAACCATAGTTCACCTTGGGCAAGAAGGAAGGATATCAAGAACAATTTGGGGAAAGTTTTATGCACCCTAAAGTGAATGAGACTATCAGCCACCCACTGGTTTGTTCTTGCTATTTCATTAACAGAATTTATTTTTCAGAGCAGTTTTAGGTTTACAAGAAAATGAACAGGAAATACGGAGTTCTCGGGCATCCTCTCACCCCTACTCTGTTATTTCCCCTTCTCATTGGCATCTCGCGTTAGTGTGGTGCATGTGTTACCATTGATAAGCCAATATCAATACGTTTTTATTAATGAAAGTCCATAGTTAAATGAGGTTCACTCCTAGAGTTGTATATTCTATGGGTTTGGACAAATGTATAATGAACTGAGTCCACTATTATATAAGGGGACTTCAAAAAGTTGATAGAGAAATAGAATTAAAATATAAGTTTAGGGGCCAGCAGGTGACATGGTGGTTAAGGTGCTGGATTCCCACATGACCTACCGTGGTTCACATCCTAGACCTGGTGGCTAGAAAAATCACTACAAATAAATAGATAAATAAATAAACAATAATTTTTTTTAATAAATAAAGTACAAGTTTATTTTGGAGCAAAAATCTTGAAATCTATGCATTTTTTTCCATAATAACACATTTTTCATGAACTTTTTGAAGACCCTCATAGAATCATAGAGAATATTTTCCAGGCCTTAAATATCCCCTTCCCTCCCTTCCCACCTCTTAAGCCCTGGCAACCATGGGTCTTTTTGCTGTCTTCATAGTTTTTTATCTTTTTCCAGAATATCACCTTGCTAGAAGCATAGGGAGACTGTCATTTTTCAGAACAGATTTCAATTACTCTTGGACAGCCCTGGGAGAAGGCTCTTCTGAGCAGCAAGACCCTGGCTTCTCAGATTCGAACGTATGCATGATCACCAGGATCTTGGGAAAACACAGGCTCTGATCCGGTTGGTCTGGGGCAGGGTCTGAGACTGCATTTCCAATGTGCTCTGCTGCTGGCCAGGGACCATACTCAAGAAACGTCTAGAAGGCAGGCAGGAGGTCCTACCCACTGACTGTGACCAGAACACCTGGAATGTAAGTAACAGAGAGTAGAGGGAGAACCAGCTACCTTGCAATTCTGGTACTCAGAGCTGCAGCTGGGTGACAGGAGCGGTGCACCACACGGGGGGTGGGGGGACCTCAGGACAAGAAACCCTAACAAGGTAGCATGACCACTGATGGCCATGGTTCTGGGTGTAGCCCCCTCTCACAAGGGCGGGTGGCCTTCTGTAGAAGAGCCTGGTTGCTTCTGCTTTAGAATACTATTCTCAGGCATGGTGTTTTGCTAAATATGGGAACATAGGTGGAATTTTTGTTTTGAAGAGAGATTTGAAAAAGAAATCTCTTTTGTTGGTCACATCTTTTTCAGAAAAATCTGCAATTTTCAACCTTTCTTCTGAAATGATTCCCCTGGCTTACAGATAATAAAATATTCATTTTCTACAAGGCTGCCTGTAGCCTGCTTTGCTCATAGAGATCCTACAGATGTATTTAGCAGTGGAGTTCTAGAACATTCTATAATAGCAAAAAAGGTGCAGAACACATTTCAGTTGGAATTATTATCTATTATCTATTTATGTCTATCACCTATCAATCATTCATCTATCCATCATCTATCTGTATCTATCAATTATCTATCTATAATTAATCTATCAGTATTGATGCAACAAGAGCCTTCTTGACAGAAAAGGCCACTTTCTTTCATAATGATTTGCAGTCATAAAAATAATATCAATGCAATAGTATTAAAAAATTATGCAGAGGTATAAAATGGAAGATCAGAGTCATTCTATAACCCTCTTCCCTTCTAGCTGGTTTTAAATCTTGACTTGGAGAGACAATTGGATAAAAAGAATTTTCTGCTCCCAGATTCTGTGCTTTGCAGTCAGCCTACACATGCCTCTTTTGAATAAGGCTGTCCCTGCCTCCTTTCATGATGCTTAGATTTTTTTTTTCCCCAAATGCCTGTATTGTTTATTGTAATCTCATCTCAGCTATTTAAAAACATTTTTAGGACCAGGGTCAGAGGGACCGTCACAGTAGGATTTGTCCTGGCCAGGGCTCCCAAGGATGGCTTTGTGTGGGGCCATGCGACCTCCATCTGCTCAGCCATCCAACCCTTCCATCCTCAGATTAAGTGCTGTTTTCCCTGCACTGTCACATAACAGGGCGAGCATGGTGTGGATGTTCTTAGGTCAGGGTGTGCAGGAGTCTTGGAAATGCCCATACCATTGGCACAGTTGTAGCTCCATCTGCAACATGTCCAGTTTCTGTTGATTTTCCTGTGTGTTTCCGTAAAGTGTATAGTACTTGGAGAACCAGAAATACCATGAGTGCTCAGTCCAGACACTGAGCTCTGATGCCTGGTGGCTCCAGCTGGGGATTTTGGACCTTCCTGATGCCTGCAGATGGTCAGACATATATTCCCTGGTGTCCTAAAGGGCTTAACAACAGAGTTCTGTGATGAGCAGACCATGGAAACAAAGGAGGGCTTCATTAAAGTGGGCCGTGTTTTCTGTAGCAGGTTATCACGCACGGGAATGGCAGGGCAATGGTGATTGTTGCCATCGAGCATCACCCGAGAGGTCGAGTTTGGAATTCGTGCGTGGAGAACTTGAATTAATAGTTTATGTGATCATAATGTAGTGCCCCCCTCAGCCATGCTTCTGATAGGCCTCATACTAGCAAAGCGTTTCCATAGTCTTGCGGAAAAGAATGCCAACAGAAGTAACAATTATATCCTAATTATAAAGTGCTCTTTTCTAAATATACACACTGTTTTGTGTGTGTGTTGGGCATGTGTTCAACTGGATGCAGATGGGAGGAGCTTGCCAACAACCGGGTTCTGGCACACTTCCCTGTGCGTGTTCCGCTCCACTGGACTGTGTGTGCCAAAGCGAACAGAGTGCTGTTTCTCCCTCACTTAGATCTGCAGATGCCACATGGGCTTAACCAGTTTAGAAAAAAAATCAAAGAGACACAAAAACCTCATCTGCCTCCCAGCACAGGACATGTTTTCCAACTCTTTGCTGTAGCAGATCTGAAATCCTGTGAGAGCCTGCTTGTTCTGAGGCTGTTTGGGAAAAGCTGAAAGGCAAGATGGGAGCCAGGTTCATCCATAGGGTCACGTGAGCACAGTCGGCAACTTTATGATGCAGTGAATACTCAGAGGCACTCGTACCGGTAGATCAGGAACTTTTAAAATTCTGTTTTTCATGAAAGGGCTGAATAATCCCAGATAGAAATCATTTCGGAGACCCTTTTTTTCCCAAAAGTCATGTCGTTTTGATCACATATGATCAAAAAAAGCCAATCTGTCACTTCCATTTTAGGGCCCGGAAGTATCAGAAGCAATTCTATTGATATCGATATCTTACCTCCATCTCCCTTTTTGTCCCATAAATATATACATTTCCTTTTTTCTTTCTATAGGATGCGTGCACTTGCAGAAGATGGATAGAGAGGGGAAGTGAGAAATCACTCCCCAGGGCAGATGGCCATACCACAATCCCATCTCCTTCATTCTTCTCTTTTTCTCTTTTTTTCCACTCATTCATTCGTTCATTAATTTCATTTCATTTTATTTACTTATTTATTTTATTTTTGCTTGGGAACTCACAGGAGGAAAGGGAAACAAATTAGGGTCAAGAGCAGATGGCCAGTGAAGGAATGGGGCAAGTTGTAGGGAATTAGTGACAGGCTCTGTTCTTTTTATTTTATTTTTTAAAGAATTATTTTATTAAACTTTATTATTTTTATTTATTTGTTTATTTAAATTTGAGGGACAGAGCGAGTGAGTGAGAGAGAGAGAGAGAAAGCAAGCTGCCAGATCTGGGACTCAAACTACAGTTTGTCATGTTGGAGACAAGCGCCCTTAACCATGCCACCTGCCAGTCCCTCATTCATTTATTTTAATTTGACGAGAGAGAGAGAGACAGAGAGAGAGGGAAAGTGAGAGAGCAGGCCACCAGATCTGGGACTTGAACTGTGGTCGGCCATGTGGGAGTGTCCAGCACCTTAACCATCACGCCACCTGCTGGCCCCTCATTTTTCTTGGTATTATAGGAATAATCATGCACATGTGGTCTTCTCCAGCCCTCAGACTGGAAATTATACTGCCAATGTTCCAGGCCTTTGGACTTAAACTAGAACTGACACTATTGGTTCTTCTGGTTCTCTGGCTTTTAGTCTCAGACTAGAACTATACCAATGTCTTTCCTGGGTCTCCAATTTGGACATAGCAGTTTGTGAGGCTTCTCACAATCCTACACAATTGCATGAGCTAATTCTTTATAAGAAATATTTTTAAGAACTTATAAAGAGATTTTTTTTTTGAGAGAGAGATTTTTGCTATAGGGTATGTGTGTTCACCAGAGAGACTGAAAGAAATCACCTTCCCAGGGGGATGGTCACTCCGCAGTCCCTTCTCCTTCATTCTCCTTTGGGATCTTGGGCATGTACGCACACGTGCCCAGCATGAGTTTTAAGTCTCCAGGTCCAGGGTTTAAACCGTGGTCAACTATGTGGGAATCCAGCAATGTAACCATGCCATCCGTGGTTCCCTATGAAGAGATTTTTTTTTTGGAGAGGTTTTTGCTATAGGGCACATGCGCTCACCAGACAGACAGAGAGACAGAGAGATAGAAAGCGAGAAATCACCCCCAGAAGGGGATGATCACGCCACAATCCTTTCTCCTTTGTTCTCCTCTCGGGATCTTGGGCACGCACGCACATGTGCCCGGCGTGAGTTTTAAGCTGCTGGGTTCAGGACGCAAACTGCGGTCGACTACATGGGAGTCCAGCGACATAGCCATTACGCTAACTGCTGGTCTCCCTATGAAGAGATTTAAAATATATATATATATATATATATATATATTCTGTTAGTTATGTTTCTCTGGAGAACTCTGACTAATGTGCAGGCAAAACCTCAGCCCTACTCCCTTCTCCCTATTTGCCTATCTGATTCCAGAACATCCTGCATAATTCCAGGGGCTGCTAGTCCATAGGAAAAATGGGACCACTGTCCCTTCGAGTTGCACAGTACATCAGTATGAACTTTAGAATTGTCCAAGGCAACTGTCTCTCCCCCAACTCCAAAATGATTATCTCCCTGAACTCCAGACCTATCCATCTAATAGCCTGTTCAACATCTCCATCTGAATTTCCAACTGGAGTCTAGAACCTAATTTGTCCAACACTGAACTCTTGACATTTCCCCTAGATCTGCTGCCCCCACAAGTCTCACTCATCTCAGCTAGCTCCATCCATCCAGCTCCTCGAGCTCAAAGCCCCTAATCACCCTGTCTTCTCTCTTGTTCTCATGCTTCATATGGCCTGCCCCCCATGGAGACCTGTTCCCCTCCCTTCAGATCATACCCAGAATCACCACAACTTTCACCACTCTGAGTCAAGCTCACCATCAGTCATCTGGCTTTCTGTAGTGAGTTCTGGACTTGGCTCCTTAATTCTGACTAAGCCTCCCACTTCAGGCTATGCACAGCACAGCAACCAGAGCAATCCTATTAAAACCAAAGCAATAAGATAGGGCTCATCTTTTTAGAACCCTCTAATAGCTTTGCATCTTCCTCAAAGCAAAGGTTCATTTCACCTCAAAGACCAATAAGACCCTACAGTATATTCCAACTACCTCTCTCCTCTCATCTCATTATTCACTCAGTGCCAGTCACATTGGCCTTGATCTTCTTTAAACACTCCTGCCCCAGGGCCTTTGCATTTTCAGTTTCCTCTGTCTAGAATGCTCCTGTCCAGATAGCTACCAAGTTTTCAGGTCTTTGCTCAAAAGTCACCTTTTCAGGAAGTCTCTCCTTTACCGTCCGAGTTAGAATTGCAAGCCACCTCCCGTGGATCCTCTTATCTCCTTTCTGTGTTTTATTTCCATAGCCTGGTATTACCATGTGACATAATATATATTTTATTCTTTTTAAAATTTTCTATCTCAGGTCAGCAGGTGGCATGGAGGTTAAGGTATTAGACTCCCACACAGCCGACCACAGTTTGAGTCCCAGACCTGGTGGCTTACTTTCTCACTTTCCCCCTCTCTCTCTGGTGAGCACACGTGACTTATAGCAAATTCAAAATGATAATGATAGTAAATAAATAAAATTAAATAAAAAATTTAAAAAAATTTTTCTGTCTCCTCCGCAATAGAATGGAAGTTCCCTGAGGGCAAGATTGTTTGTTTCTGGCTTATTCACTTCTCCATCACCTAGAAGATTCCTGGCATGCAGAAGACTCTTTGATAAGATATTTGTTAACAGAGTAACCATCTCTGATTCATGCTAGATGGAGAGATAGTACACCTTTCTTTTTCTTCTCTATTTTGGTCATTTTTGTAAAAATTGACAGAGTGTATGTGTGCTCACTAGAGAGAAACAGAGAAAAAGGAAGTGGAGACAGTATCTCATGCAACAATTCCCTCTTCTCCATCTTTCCCTCCTTTGGGGATTTTGGACATGCATGCACATGTACCTAGGATATTTTCAGAGCTACCAGGCCCAGGACTCAAACCACTATATAAGATTTGACTCACTTAACCAACAGACTATGAAGCTGACACCGTAAGAAAGGTGAGGTAACATTGAGAAGATGCCTGTCTATGATGAAAAGGGCTCTTACCAGACACCAAATCTGTTAGCACCTTGACCTTGGACTTCCTAGCCTCCAGAACTGTGAGAAAGTTAGGGCGCCTTTCTTATATCAATTTGATAGGATAAAAATCTTGAGGTTCTCTTGAGACTTTGGCATGGAATTACTCTATCCCAAACCCTTCTGAAGCAGGAAAGCTGTGAAGTGGAAAGTAAGGTACCTAGCTGCTGAGTTCTGGTCTTGATTCTTATCCTTAACCAGCTGTGTGAGTTTGGAGACAAACTTTTTTTAAAAGAATTATTTTATTTAACTTTATTTATTTATTTTTTAAATTTGACCAGAGAGGAACAGAACATGAGAGAGAGAGTGGGAAAGTGAGAGAGCAAGCCACCAAGTCTGGGACTTGAATCATGGTTGGCCATGTGGGCATCCAGCGGCCTTAAATACCACACCCCCTGGCAGCCCCTGAAGACAAACTTAATCTCCCTGAATCCCAACTGCCCCATCTGATGAATGGGTATAGTATTACCTATCTTACAGGACATGAACATTAATTTATGTATAGAAAAACTGGCCTGGAGGACCAGCCCCATAGACTAGTGGTTAAGGGAGTCTGGATCCCACATGACTGACCATGATTTGAGTCCCAGCCCCGGAAGCTTGAAAAAGGTGTCAGGTGCATGTGTGCATGGCCCAAATCCCAACAAAATGGAGAAATGGAGGAGAAGGGATTGCTGCATGACCATGCACCTCAAGGAAGATTCTCCCTCTCCCTCTCTTTTTCTCTCTGGCTAGAAACCAAAAAAAAAAAAAAAAAGGGAAAAAAGAAAAAGAAAAACTGGCCTAGAATATCATTCAATAAATATGAGTTACTACTGTGATTATTAAGTTTTTTAGCTTGGATAAAGTATTATCTATAAATATTTATATCTCATTCATAATTGAGGAATAAGTATAACAAGTCACTTTTATTCACTGGGAGAAACAGTATAATAAAACACCACCTAAAAATGGCCTACAATTATAAGTTAATTATATTCTTCCCTATTTGTTGATATTTAAAGAAAGAGGAAAATAATTAAAACATAATGTCATATGATGGATTTGTGTTATAAATGTTTTCGGGGTTCAGTTTTCAAAAATCATACTGTTTCACGATCTTGTGCTATATTAACACCAGCCTCCAAGCCTTAAGGGAGCTAGATGATTGAGGTTTTCATAGTTTCTGTATGTCTCTTAAAAACTCTGACTTTGACACATCGAGGAGCCCTTGCTGCCTGAAAATGATCGTGGAATTGCTGATGTACCCATCTGCATCATCTTCATGCTACTTTTAGGTAAGTACAGCTTTGATCAATAGCCTTCCAGCCTCCTGCCTCTCTTTCATCTTCCATCTTTTTGGAAGGGGTGACTTTTGAGCAGAACATATAAGGGGTGTGAAGGAAGAGCAGGGAGAAGAATGGAAGGTAGTCCACATAGGGAGAATTGCAAGAGCCAGGGTTCAGGAGCAAGAGGAGCATCCCTGGGCTGCGTGAGGGGAATTTGCTTAGAAACAGAAGAGATATCCCCTGAATAAAGAAAAAGAGGCACAGACTGGGGACACACACAAGGCAGAGTCTTCACTGATATGTCAGAGAGCTGGGCTTGTTTTTGTGGGCTTCCTCAGATGCTGGAGGCTTAGCCACGAACATGGGCTGAATGGCTGGAGTGTGAGAGTCCAACACTTTCCCAGGTGGGCAGCAGGATGGAGAAGTGGAAAGCAGGGCACCTTACCACATGAGGCATCTCTGAGCCAACAAGTAGGAGAGGGAGCCAGGAAGCCAGTCAAACACTAGGCTCACGGGGTTCAGAAGTAAGTAGTGAGAGGTCAGATATGGCTCAGCAACATGGTCTGAAGGTTTATGTCCCATCCCCCCAGAGTTCATAGGTTGAAATGCTAACTTCCAAAGTGATAGCATTAGGAACAGGGGCCTTTGGGAGGTGATTAGGTCATAAGAGTGGAACCCTCATGAATGAGATCAGTGTCCTTATAAAAGGGTCCTTGGAGAGACCCCTAGTCTCTCTCACTATGTGAGATAACATTAAGAAGATGCCTATCTATGAGGAAAAGGAACCTTACAAGACACCAAATCTGTTAGCACCTTGACCTTGGACTTCCCAGCAACATGGTCTGAAGGTTTATGTCCCATCCCCCCAGAGTTCATAGGTTGAAATGCTAACTTCCAAAGTGATAGCATTAGGAACAGGGGCCTTTGGGAGGTGATTAGGTCATAAGAGTGGAACCCTCATGAATGAGATCAGTGTCCTTATAAAAGGGTCCTTGGAGAGACCCCTAGTCTCTCTCACTATGTGAGATAACATTAAGAAGATGCCTATCTATGAGGAAAAGGACCCTTACAAGACACCAAATCTGTTAGCACCTTGACCTTGGACTTCCTAGCCTCCAGAACTGTGAGAAATAAATTCCTATTGTTTATAAGCCACCAAATCTATGGCATTTTGTTAGACTAAACCAACTTAGACATCCAGAGATAGAAGAGAGAAAGAAGAGGGACCAGCAGTTGGTGTAATGGCTATGTCGCTGGACTCCCCCCGTGTAGTCGACCGCAGTTTGAGTCCTGGACCCAGTGGCTTAAACTCACACCGGGTGTGTGTGCGTGCATGCCCAAGACCCCAAGAGGAGAATGGAAGAGAAGGGATTGCGGTGTGGCCATCCCCCTCGGGGGGTGATTTCTCACTTTCTGTCTCTCTGTCTCTCTCTGTCTTTCTGGTGAACACACATGCCCTATAGAAAAAAAAAAAAAAGGATGAGCACAGCAGACACCAAGCTAGGCGGATCCATTCCAGTGTCTGGAAACTTCCTCCCCAAGGCAGCTTCCCCAGGGATCCAAAGGGTAGCAACTGGATGAGGGGGCAGCAGAGAGAAACTGAGAGAATGCTGGGAGAAGCCCAACATTCTGCCAGGCAGATAAATTTCAACAGCAGGAACCACTGTTTGCGGGTGGCCCTAGAGCTTTATCAGAATAAACAGATCATAGAAAATGTCACCCCTAATGATTGTTTCACTTGGTACATCTATGGCTTCCCAGGAGTAGCCCTGTTTGTTATCACTGATGTCTGCATTTGCGCATCTCACTGACTGCATCTCACGAGATGGTCTTGAAGATCAATACTGACTTTACTACTGTTTCCACATCCGTGTTACATGAAACCAGTACATCAGACACTTCACAGTACCAGGTGGAGAGTATAATTAGATGTGGTCCAAGCCCCTGAATCACCTTCCCCCTCTGCCCCTCCTGGCGACAGACTTGAAATGAGAAAGATAAACTGTCCCTGCACAAAGGAATGTCGAAGATAGATTCACTTATCCCTGCCGACCGGTTCACTGTTTCACCTCCTCGAGTTCAAATTTTCTGTGTACTCATTTTATGTAGTAGGTGGCATCCTGCCATCTCCAATCAAGCGAAAGTTTCTTTTATCAAGTCCGGTCTCCTTAGAAAGACCCTCCTGGATGGTTGAATATGGAGGTTCATGAGGTTGCCCTCATGTTTGGATACTGGACATTCTCATGGATTTTAGGCCATTATTTCCTAGTAAATAATACTTTTTAAAACTTTTAAAATTATTTGGGGGGGGGGCCAGCAGGTGTAACATGGTGGTTAGCGGTCTCCTTAGAAAGACCCTCCTGGATGGTTGAATATGGAGGTTCATGAGGTTGCCCTCATGTTTGGATACTGGACATTCTCGTGGATTTTAGGCCATTATTTCCTAGTAAATAATACTTTTTAAAACAATAATTTGGGGGGGGGCAGCAGGTGTGACACGGTGGTTAGGGTGCTGAATCCCAAGGCCAACTCTGTGGCTTGAATCCTGGATCTCGGTGGCCTGAAAAAGACACCAGGTGTGTTTGCATTGTGCTTAAGATCCTGAGAGGAAAATGGAGAAGGGATTGTGGTGTGGCCATCCCTCCAGGCAGTGATTTCTCACCTTCTCCCTCTCTCTGCTGCTTCTCCCTTTGATTCTGAAAAGCCTGTTTGGGAAAAATAACTTAAAAGCCCCTGCACTTTGATTTGTCTCATCTTTCCAATCCATTTCTCTCCAACGCTGCATCATCTCTTTGTCTCCCCACTCTCAGAAGTCCATATGAGAAAGAGGGGGAAAAAACTCCCCCCAAAACAGAAAAGCACAGATGCGCCTACCTCCAGCTTTCACCGTGCTGTGCATGCCACTTCGGTTCTTCACGCCTGCTCCTAGTCTGTGGGGAATGCCTGCCTTCCTGCCCCCCAGCTCCTGTCTGTCTCTCCCTGCAGTCCCTTGCTCAGGGCTCCTTGCTCGGTGCTCCTGAGCCCGTACACTGGAGGACCCATGGAGATAGGGTTCCTTTGCGTTGCTGATGGGATCCCCAGGGGTTGCCCTGCACTAGATTTCCCCAAAAGCAGACTCTGCGACAAACATTTGTGTGTAGGTGATTAAGAAATACAGGTAGGGAAACAAGGGGAAATGAGACAGGGCGGGAGGGCAGCCCATGGAGATACTTATCAAGGAGTTTCCTGCTGTGGGCCACTGGGGCCTGATCCTACTGTCTTGCCAGTGAAGAGCAGGCTTTTATGTGTGACTCCCATCAGCCATGGGAAGAGTTCTGCTCTTTTGTCTGCCATGCATGGGCAGAGCAGCTCTGGAAGCCAAAGCAAGCCTCCAGCAGAGATCCGATGCTGGCAGGTGGCAGTGGGCTGCTCATGCTGTGCATGGCCAGGATTGTTGCTTATTTATTCACTTGTCCCACTTCAAACCTGATGCATGCCTATAAAATGGAAAGAATAAAGAGAGGGCAAAAGAATGCAGCTGCCTAGAACCACTGGCCAGGTTAGTATACTGACAGCCGAACAGATTATGTGTTGTTTTCCTTTCCTTCAGAAGCTTTCTGTAGAGTTCTCAGTGTCTGGGTATCCCACCACCACACACCTAAAATATTTTAAATTTTTTTTAAAGAGAGACATTTGTTGCTATAGGGCACATGCATTTGCCAGAGAGACAGACAGATACAGAGAGATAGAAAGTGAAAAATCACACACACACACCCCCGCCCCCAGTGGGGAATGCCATGCTACAATCCCTTCTCCATTCTCCTCTCAGGATTTTGGGCACACACGTACTCACGCCCAGCATGAGTTCTAAGATGCTGGGTCCAAGACTTAAACCGCAATTGACTATGTGGGCATCTAGCGATATAACCATTGTGCCATCTGCTTTAATTGTATTTCTTTAATGTATATAAATCAACAATGGTCAACCGTTCACACTAGTTGGCCCAATCAGAGAAGGAACCACAGAGAATCAGGGACAAATAGCCATGCACCCCCATGAATCCAGCCTCGTGCACAGGCAGTAAATGTCCCTCCTTACTGCTTCCCTTAAGTTAAGGTATTGTACTCACATAAAAACACTGGATGATGTCTCTCTGTGCTCTGTTTCCAGTGGAAAAGCTCATACTTACTGACTATGAAAACACAGAAAGGGATACAGATTGCCTAAGGGCCCTTCAAAATCAAAGATCTTCTGAAAGGTGATGAGTACCAGCCTGGAGGCCCTTCCACCTAGATCCAGCCATGCCTAAATCACACCTACTTTTTAGACAAGTAAATGATGTTGGTCAATAAATTCCTTTTTTTCAAAGGCTAGTCGGAGTTGGTTTTGTATTCTTTACAACCCCAAGAATCCCACGAACCCTCCACTCATTCTTTGCACAAAGAAAATTCGTCCTTGTCACAGTAGATCTCTGTTTTCTGTCTCAGTTCTACCCCTACCTTATTGATCTGTTGTGGAATCGTGAGAAAACTGCCTACCTCTTCTTGGCTTCAGATCTCTCTCCAGAATTTTAGTGACTTCTGTAGTGATTCCTTTTCTGTTCCTCTGCCACCCTGCTTCTCCTGACCACGCTCCCTGTCCCTTTGCTCTCTCCAACCACAGAAGGAGGGTATGGATAAGCAGTTTCTCATGATTAAATGCCCTCTCACTTCTGGTAAAGTTCTGTCCTAGTTCTGAGCCTAATATGGTTTTGTGGCACAAACCCCCCAAATCAGGCTGGCCCTACTACACAGTGATTAAGCGTTGTGTATGGGGGCCAAGTCCTACATTACAACTGTGGTTCAAATTCTGGCCCCAACCATTTGAAAAACTCACTGAGTGGGCCAACCAGATGGCATGGTGGATAAGGCAGCTAGATCCACATGGCCAACGGAGCAGTTCCAGACTTGACATATTCAAAAGTATACAGAGTGCATGTAATCACATGCTCTAAATCCCTACAGGAGAATGGAGGAGAAGGGACTGCAGTGTGGTCATCCCTCCCAGTGGGTTATTTCTCACTTTCTCTCTCTCTCTCTCTCTCCCTGTCTCTCTCCAGTGAGTACAAGCACCCTATGGCAAATTAAACACACACACAGGTGTGTGTGCCTGAAATCCCGACGAGGTGGAGAAATGAAGGAAGAAGGATTGCAGCATGACGATGCCCCACTGGGGGGGCTCACTCATTCATCCATAAAGATACAGGAAATCATTCATCTATAAATATATAAGAAAGGTTTTTAAAAAGCAAAAACTGTGAAGGCTAGTTTATGTGTCAACCTGACTGGGCCAGATATCTGGTTAAACATTCTCTCTGGTGTGTCTACAGTCTATGGAAGAGATGGGCACTTGAACAGTGATGAGTAAAGCAGATGGCCCTCCCCGGTGCAGGTGGGCATCTTCAATCCCCGGAGGGCCTGAATAGAACAAAAAAGTAGAGGAAAGTTGAATTTGCTCTTTTCCTTTTGGCTTGAGCTGGAACACTGAATTTAAGCACTCTTGGTTCTGAGGCTTTCAGACTTACACTGGGTTCTACACCGTTCACTCTTCCCCTCTCAGGCTTTCCAACCAGCAGCAGACTTCCTGGGTCTCCAGCCTGCAGACAGAAGATAGTGGGGCAGCTCAGTCACCATGATCATGTAAATATATATATATATATCCTGTTGGTTCCATTTCGCTGGAGAACCTTGGCCAATACAAAAATGAACTGGCATCCACTTACCTAACACCCATTCTCTCTACCCAATATCTATTTCTACCCCGTTTAAAAAATAATTATCAATTTGTTTAATTTTATTTATTATTGTTATTTATTTTTTGATTTGACCAGAGAGAGACAGAGAAAGAGAAAATGAGAAAGCAAGTTGCCAGGTCCAGGACTCAAACTGCAGTCAACCACTTGGGAATCCAGTACCTTCACCACCACCACCACCTACTGGCCCTCACATCCCCTCTCATTAGTAACAGAACCCATTGTGTCCCACGCTGGTGTCATGCCTAGTTAAAATACTGCATTGCAGCTGACGGACTCAAAGAGGGTTAAACTAGCGAGTAGCTACCTTTGTGTCCTTCATTCTTTAGGTCTGTCCTTCCTGGAGCATGAAGGCGACAGCTCTAGTAGCCAATCCTATCATGGCCATGACCATGCAGGGGGACCAGGTGCAGTGGACACCTAGAAGGAGCCCGGACTGAGAGTGTGTGGAGCTGCCGCCCCAGGCCTGGGCTCTCTACCCACACATTTTTATTACAGAAGAAAAACGATAAAGCTCCATTTGTGTAAATCACTTGTTACTCAATACACACTTTTACACGAATTGTCCGTGTAGACATAAGTTCTCTAAGCCATTCAAAACAGCATCTTGCTATCCTTCGACCGCAGCAGGGCTCAATTCTGGCTGCACATTAGAATCGCCTCGTGTGTTGTAGAAATGGCACTGCCTGGGACCCTCGGAGACGCTTTCATAATTGGCCTAGAGCCTGGCCTTGGCATTGGGATTTTTGAAAACTCTCAGGGTGCTTCTAATGTGCAGCCAAGGTTGAGAACACCCTGCTGCTCTCTTTTCCAAGGCACAGTAATTGGTTGATTGATTGCCTCAGTCCCTCTCATTAAAGCCTAATGAGGAACACAGTGGACCAGGCTGACAGCCCAGAGGTTCTAAACTTGAGCAGATCAGGATCACCTGGAGGGCTTGTTAAACCAGGTTGCTGGCCCCACCCCCAGAGTTTCTGATTTAATAGGTCTGGGGTGTGCTGGATAATTTGAATTTCTAACAGGCTCCCAGGTGATGCTGGTGCTGTGGCCTGGAAGGCGTGTTTTCTTCCCTCCTCTCCCGCTTCCCCCCCACCTCCCACCCAGTGTGCCGAGGGCTCTCTGGTTTGCTTTATTGTTTTGTTTTTTGTTTTTGTTTTTGCTTTATTGTTTTCCACTACTGAAAGCAGAAAAAAGCTTGTTCCCATTTAGAGGAACCGAGAACCTGTCCCCCCCTCTTTCATCTGGATAAACTCCACTTGCTTCCAGGTCTCCTCTGGGATGTTACCTCTTCCAGGAAGCCTTCCTCTGAGTCTATGCCCTCGGAGCCCTTGGTACAATGGCCTGGTTGCCTCGCTAGTCTCCTCAACACAGAAATACATTTTCTCTCAATATGCTCAGGTCCCTGCACACGCGGGGGAAACTGAGTCTTCCTGCCCGAAGGAAAGTGGGTGGCTTTAGGCAGGTTGGACTCCACTTACGGGGAGAATGACTCTGGGGTGGTCCAGCTGGAGTCAGTGGGGACAAGGCCTCAGTGAGCCCCTTCCTCACTAGTTCCTTCAGTGCTGGAAGACTTCTCTTCCACGCTCAAGCTGGCCTGCTGTCCACCCCTCCCTCAAGACCCCACCCGCCATGAGCTCAGGTAAGGTTCCTCCCTGTATTCCCCAACTGAACCTAAACTCTGCTCTTCCTCTCCCTTCCGAACTCTACAAATGTGCTTGAAGAGGTGAAAAATTTTTCTAAAGTTTATTTATTTCTTCCTTAAGAGAGAGAGATAGAGATGGAGAGAGACAGAGATACGGATATAGCCAACAAGGTCTTCACGCCATGACCTATCCTCAGCCAGCAGGCCACAGGCATGCATGCACTTGCTGTGTACAGGAAGACCTCAGGACCCAAACCTGGGACCTTCCCATGTGAGCCCAGCATCATGGAGTGTTGTGCCACTATAGGTGGCCTGCTTTGTGGGACATGTGACATTTGTGCAGAAGTCATGAGTAAGCAGTAAGTACAGGGGAGCAGAAACTGTGGGGAGGGAGGGAGGCAGTTATGGTAGCAAGAAGTGCAGAAAGAGGAGCAAACAAATCACTCTAAGGCGGAGGCCCGATTTATTTCTACAGCCTCGGGGGTGACCAGACACCCCACTCTTCGGAGTGCTCATGAATCCTGACTGCCCATGCATTTTCCACAAGGCTCCACCTTGACTGTTGGAAGTTTCCATGAGATTTCTGTCCCCCTACCATGTAGCCTCTTCCAGAAAACTTACCTTGGCTCAGCGTCTTGCACATAGTAGGTGCTTAGGAAATACCACTGTAAGAATGAATTGCTTGAGACAATTTAAGAAAAGATGGCTGTTATAACACAATTTCCTTACCTACCTTCTACATGTTGGGGGTGGTGATTTGGATCTGCTTCCTTTGGGGCACATATAGCTGCCCTTCCTGTCCATCACATAGTCCAGCATCTCACTCATTCTCATTGCTCAGCGAAGGGCCCACTGTGACACATCCTGAGCTCATGCAGAGACCGGAACAATCCAGGCACGGGTTGTCAGTGCTCAGTGAGAGAAACAGGCTGGCGCATCCAAACGTGGGAGATCATCTCTGGCAGCTTTGTATCCCCACCCAACTGGGAGCCAAGCGGAAAAGCAGAACAGGAAGTGCTATGGGGACGACATGCAGTCCTAAGAAACGGAAAGGACTTTAATTAGCTTTTGACTGGGCTCAATATGCCAGAACCATGAAAAGAAAGGGGCTTGTTCTCTAGGCAGAATGAGATGAGTTCTTGTCTGGTGCATTTAATGGCTCAACAGACACTCCCTAGAATGATCTCTTCCACTCCTTTTCCTCTCTCCCCCAAGCCTTTGAAAACGAACATCATCTAAATTAAAACCAGATTCTGCTGTCAGGAAAAGCAGTTTGGAATACTCAGGTAGCAAACCTGGTATCTGTGCCACGGACATTATGACATGCAGGAGCATAGCCTACAACCAGGGGGCAGTATGGAGCACAGCCTGCAAACAGGGGGCAGGATCCCAAATGAAGGGTGGGCCCAGGCTCAAAGGTGAATAGAAGAATGTTCACTTCAGCTCAAATGGAAGATCAGAGGCCTGGTTTTTCCCTAGCTCAAAATGAAGAAAAAGAGTCCCAGCTGAAGGAAACTTTAAAGAGATTTTTACCCAGTTCCTCGGAGAATTTAAAATTCTTCACATACATGTGTGGTAACACACACACACACACACACACACACACACACCTGCACCCAGTCACTTGCCAAATAATGCACTGTGCTTCTTTTATTTAAAAGGTGATCCTTTTCTATGGGGGTTAGGCTGTATTTTTGAGAGAGCAAGATCCTTACCAAAGAAATTTCAGGTTTATAGTTCAAGTTTGCTCTCTGGAATAGCTGGGAAAGTGGAAAATTGAAGGTAATTCAGCCTCTGTCAAGGTGAAAACTTCCATCCTTCCCTTGCCAAGGTCATAGAATCTGCTTTCATAGGATGGCTGCCTCTTTCTTACACATGCCCTCATCACCCCACAGATGGTGTTCTCTTTCCTCAGGTCCCAAGGTACCGCCTACTATTGTCAAGAATCTTCAGCTCAATATAGCAATTATTCATTTGCCTGTCCTCACTAGACTGACGACAGCTAGATTCCTTTTTTTCTTCTTAGGTATTTGCCATAGGATGTGTGCGTTCGCAGAGAGAGGCAGGGAAAGGGAAAGTGAGAAACTACCCTCTTGGGGGGGATGGCCATGCCACAATCCCTTCTCCTCCATTCTCTTGAACACATGCCCAGTGTGATTTTCAAGCCTTCAGGTCCAGGACTTGAACCATGGTTGGCCACGTAGAATTTCAGTGCCTTAACTACCATGCCATCTGCTGGCTCCAACAGCTGGATTCCTGGGAGAGCATCGTACCTTTGAATTCTCTGTGACTAGAATAACACTTGGTACATAGTAGGATGCTGGTTCAATAAATGAATGAAGGAATAAGTTAGTGACTACTAGAGCCTGTCTGGCTCATCTTTGCATCCCATACACAGTGTTTAAATTTTCTAAGTACATAGTAAATTCGTGCCACATGGGTCTCTTTCCCAGGGGAAAATGGTGATTCTTCTTGCTGAAGGAAACCATCCTCTGACCAGGCCCTTTGGCATTTCCAGGAGCTGTCGATGTTCTTCTGAGCTTGTATGAGCTTTAGAACCTCTTCTCCTCCTTCGGACAGCTTGGAGGGAAACATGGGTAGCAAAGAGAAAATAGATTCCCTATTCTTCTTCCACGCAGACCCTGGGGACTCCTGCCATGGGTTTGCACTCAGCAGCTTTCCTGAGCCTGTCCCAATGGAGGGGAGAGTGGGAAAGCAAGGAGCAATGAGGTGTTCATCTGGTGGCTTTGTGATTGGGACAGAGATGGTGATGAAGGAAGTGGCCCTATGGCCTGACATTATAAGTATTAACCCAAGCAACATCAAGAAGAACACCCAACTCACCTTCCACCCAGCTCCTTTGAGGAGTAAAAGTGCTTGACAGATATAACTGAAAAGAGTTTCTATCCATCCTCTAATCCCTCAACAGGGCCTCCGCTATTGACATGCCGGAAAGCAGGGAAGAAAAGGCAACAAGCTCTTCATATCACAACCTCAGCCCTCAAAACAAAGAAGTGCCCTTCCTCTATAACCTGCTCCAACTGAATCAACAAAATAAACACGAAGGCATATTTTGTCGGTAATTACAAAAAGACCAAAACATCAGGGACCAGCAGTTACCGTAATGGCTATGTTGCTGGACTCCCATGTAGTCGACCGCGGTTCATGTCCCGGACCCGGTGGCTTAAAACTCACGCTGGGTGCGTGTGCGTGCGCGTGTGTGCCCAAGATCCCTAGAGGACAATGGAGGAGAAGGGACTGCGGCATGGCCATCCCCCCTGGGGGGTGATTTCTTGCTTTCTGTCTCTCTATCTCTGTGTCTCTCTCTGCCTGTCTGGAGAGCACACATGCCCTATAGCAAAAACCTCTCCAAAAAAATAAAAGAGAGAGATCAAAACATCAAAGACACAGTATTTCTTTATCTGGAAAGGAACCAAGGGTCTAATTAAAGTCTCTTGGCCATTGTGTTCGGTGGTGGTACTTAGTACACTGAGGCGGAAATGTCACTGCTGAGGCATCATTTCAACTCCTAGACTGAGAGCAGCTCACAGAAGGGACTGGCCTCTTTCTTTTTGGCATGCCCAGAGCCCAGTACCGTTCCTGGTACACAGTGAAAACCAACCCTTGTCTGTTCAAACAATGGCTGATGATGTGAGGGAAGTAAGGGTGTAAACATGAACTGTTCAGAAAACTCTAAGATAACGGGCCTTTAATTTCCCCATCAGAACAAAGAGTAAACTAATTTTCAGATCAAGCACCACAGTGCCTTCTGATGCAAGGAAATATACAAGTGGAAAATACAGGTTTGAAAAGAGTTTGGAAAAACATATAGGGCAGTGGCTGACTCACAGCAACTGCTCTGTTATTTCAAAAACCTCCCCTGGGGTTGCAAGGAGCATTGGACAGGTCCTAAGTGGCAAGTGTCGTGTTGGAGGTACACATTGTGCTGAGACAAGAAGACTGACAGAGACTCACCAGCATGATCCAAGTGGCTTGCCCGACTCCTGGGGAAAGAACCTCATCAGTGTGACTGCTCCCCAGCCTGAGCATCCTTTCTAACTGCTTGTCCAAGTGGACCCTTTCATCTTGCAAACCTCATTTGGAGTGACTAAGTGTTGCCAGGAACACTTCCGTGGAGAGGACTGGTGGTATCATCCCGGGAGGAGGAGGGGAGATGAAAGGTGGTGTGGGAGAGATTTAGAGCAGCATAATTGGATGGGCACTGGCTTTAAAATGGGGACGTGGAAGGTTTCACTATACATAGAGTACGTTCCTGAGAGAGCTACAGAAAGAAGGGGCCTCCCAGCTCAGATGTAGAGCTAATTCAGAGAATAATCATAATAAGCCATTATCTGAACCCCTTTGTAGAAAAAAAAAAAACAAATGTAGAGAATGCCCTTCACATTGCTACCTGGATAATTCCATCTGAGCAAACTCTCAGAGCAGGTGGGAATGAAAAGCAGTGTGTAAGACCACGACCTGCATTGTCCCCGAGTCTGGCAACAGCTCAGAGCCTGAAGCTTCTAGACCATTTGGTGCTGCATCAGTTGGCTGGGTCCCTAAGATGGCTGCGCTGTGTCTGCCAAGATTGGTCCCTCCCTTCCTGGACCAAAAACTACCAGTTGGATGTTTCTTCTCTTTCATTTCACGATGAAGGCGTTTTGTAAATTTGGCTCTTTCGGCATTATGAACATTCCCAAGGATGGTTCCCAAGGATGACTCATCCCTCTCTTATTTGCATATTTCCCCTCAGACTCCATTGATAAGGCAGATGGGTATAGGTGAGGATATTGATTAAATACTGGCATGATTAACTCAGCATCTACAGAGACTTGGCTATGAAGCATGAGATTTTGTGGAAAATCCAGTCCAAGAGAGATTATAGGTAAAGCACGACATTTTAGGCTACAGAGGTTTCAATGTGGAGGTGTGGTTGCATGACTAAATGATTCTAGAACCGTCCAGAGTCTTGATTTGCCGTCTGCGGAAGGAGCTCAAACCTACCATCTTCACCCTGTGTTGTATAGATCAAATGAAATCGTATGTGTGGGAGTGATTTATTCAACAGTCGGGTCCTCTATCAATGGCCATCCATTTAGGGCTTTACCAAGAACACACAGACGAGGGAATGTCAGTGTACTGGTTATCTCAGGGGCTCTGCCTCTCCTCTTGACAGTGGACAACACCAGGAGAGAAGAAAGGGCAGTGTAGGCAGAAAAGCATCTCCTCTTCATTGGATAGAAGCTTCTCATGACCTTGAAGCCTTTGCATGGTCCCACTGTGTGGGCTGCACTGCAGTGGAGCTTTCAGCAGGGGCTTGGAATTATTTTGTAAAGTTCTGGTTATTTAGTTCCCTAATAAATGTAATTAAACAATTAAAATGGTCCCCAGACAGAATGTGAGCCAGCGAATGTCCATCTCTAGAAACAATGTCAGACACATTTAGTCTAAAAGTACCCCCAGTGCCAATGCCAGGGGGTACACAGTAGCTGCTCAGTACCAGTGGATTTCCTGAGTGAATGGGTGAATGACTGGATAAACTCGTTTCTGATGGTTGATCCAACCCTGTCGATTTGGTTCAATATATACTTGTTCATTTAGCCAAATCACAGGACAGAAGCTTTAGTTCAGCACAGTCAAGACTTACTCCTTTCTTTAAGCGCCTCTCTTGGAGAGAGAAAGTTTTCAAAATCAGACCACCCAGTTGGGCCTATTGTTCCAGAAACTGCAGGGGTTTACAATGTTCAGAGGTGTTGGGGCAGCCCACACATGGTTCATTTACAATTTTCTCATAGTAATTCACTGAACCAGAAGGAAGGACCTAGCGTACACAATCAGTGATCAGCCTGGTAATTCATTCGCACCAGCAGGGATCGAATATGGGTTAGAATGTCTGAAAGGTCAGCTAAACCATGTGTAAGTTTATTAGAATGTCGTTTTTTTGTTGTTGTTGTTTGTGTGTGTGTGTGTGTGTGTGTGTGTGTGTGTGTGTGCGCGCGCGCAATGGAAAGAAGAGGACTAAGCCAGTGGTTAAGGTAGCTAGATCCCGCATGACCGACTTGCACAGTTTGAGTTCCAGACCTGGTGGCTTGAAAAACACATTGGGCATGTGTGAATTTGTGACCAAACTCCTGAGAGAAGAATGGAGGATAAGGGATCGCAGTGTGGCCATCCTCCCTGGGGAAACGTGCTTTCTCACTTTCCCTTACTTCCTGTCTCTCTCTGGTGAGTGTATGTTCCCCATAGCAAATTGGGAAAAGAAGAAGAAGAGGAGGACTTACATACCTTAATCTTGCACCTACATCCCTGCAGTTTTCATCATCGAGTTTAACCCAGTCCTAGTTCTCTGCATCTAAACTTTCCTAACTGGTCATTTCTGCTCAGCAGGCATGGGTGGAATGGGTATCAGGTCTGTAGCTTTGTGCTGGCTGCTGGGTGGGACTTGGCAATCTTTTTATGACTTAGAGAAAACATGAAAACTCATCATCGGTGGGACCAGCAGTTAGCGTAATGGCTATGTCGCTGGACTCCCACGTAGTTGACCGCGGTTCGAGTCCCGGACCCGGTGGCTTAAACTCACGCCGGGCGCGTGTGCGTGCGTGCCCAAGATCCCGAGAGGAGAATGGAGGAGAAGGGATTGCGGCGTGGCCATCCCCCCTGGGGGGTGATTTCCTGCTTTCTATCTCTCTGTCTCTCTCTATCTGTCTGGCGAGCGCACGCGCCCTATAGCAAAAACCTCTCCAAAAAAAACAAAACAAAACAAAACAAACAAAAAAAAACATCATCAGTTACAGTATTTAACAACAGCACAGGATAGGTGGGGCTCAGACATACTGGTTCTGGGCACGAGAGCACCAGACTTTATTCAGTAACTGCGCAAGACTGGAAGCACTGATTTGAGACGAACCTTCTTGCCCACAGCAAACAGATGCCCAGAAGCCACTGAGTCGAAGGATTGCCTAGCAGTAGCTATTTAGTGTGATAATGGCGTTTGATAGCTTGGACACAAACACCATTGTCACACTCCACAGCTCTGCTAAGGAGAATCTGCAGCCATGCAGGTGTTAATGTCCCCT